AAAAAAAAAAAAAACAATAACGTACGCGACATAACGTGCGCGACATAATTTTTCTCGTAAGTAATAAAATGTATTTATTGAGAACTCTTCTCGCCACCATTTCATTATTTTACAACTATTCTAAATAATTTAAATGGAAAATTTGCAATTAACATTGGTTTTGATGTATTTGATTGAATTTTTCGTACCTACAATAACGTATGCGACAAACCTTAAAGGGTAATAATTTTTTTTTTTACTTCGGTTGGAAAGAAAATTTTACTGTATATCTTTAGCTGGAAGAATTCTCGCTTAAGAATTGTAATCTACATTACCTGCGACTGCCAATATACAAATGACATAGATATACAATGTTTTTGCATAACGTACGCGACATTAGAATACTATCAGAAGCAAATCAAAAAATTACCGTTATTCGAGCTCTAATTTCTCATTTTTCAAATTTTTATAGTAAGTTGTTATTGCAAATTTCATTTTAAGATGTAATTATAATGTTTCAAATCTCTTAATTTAGTTAATAGAAAAGAGAAAATAGTTCATTTCATTAGAGAAAACTGAGTCGAAGAGACATTCAGTTTTACTCTTCCATTTTTGAGTTTTAAAATACCTATAAGCTGAAATACTTCTATAATATAAAAATTCGAGTATTTTTCTCTTATTAATTCGTCTTAAAAACCCTTTTCAGTTGTTTTTATTTTTTCAGTCCTGATTGACATTTTCATGGAAACACCCATATGTATTGAGTATTACCCAGTACATATTTTAACTGCGTAAACGCTGCAGGGTACTTAAGAGAATTTAGAATATTTATAACTAATATTTATTTTATCTTTAACGTTTAAGGTTATGCTCCGAATTTCATACATTGCTCAAATAAACGCTCACGAGTTAAAATTGTTTTTTTTTTTTTTTTTTTTTAAATATTGTTAATGTTATACATGCAATGGTTTTTCGAGTTAAAATTGTTTTTGTTAATTTCTTTTAGATATCGTTAATGCGAGTTTCAAGCTTCATACAAAATTTTGAAAGATTTCTTTGGCTGGTGATCTTTAGCATTTTTCCGCGTCGACTTTTTTGTAATTTTTTTAAATTTATATTTTTGTAGCGAAAACTACAAAAGATCGCTAGAACAACAAAAAAGTTGGGTAC